AAAAAAAAAAAAAAAAGAAATAAATAATAAAATTTGTTATATGAATTTTGTGATTGCGAAAAATATCTACTAATTAATAAAATCGAGAACGTTATGCCCAAGCCTAATCACGTAGTTGGTAGTCATAATTTATTTTATCATTTAACGAATAATTTTTACAGTCTAAAATATTATGGACAAATTTATCATGATAGATAAATTATTGGACAAATAATAAAATTTTAAAAAAAAATGTTATAAATCCTTGAAGTAATTAAATCACAATTGGTTAAAAGAATAAAAATAAAAACAAACCTGACCCATACACCATCCTTAAAAAAATGGTTGATCAATATGGGTTGGCTCAAGTGGTAAGTAACTTGATGTCGTTTAAGCAAGGTCTCGAATTCGAGTCCATCTGGATGCAGAAAACCCTTGGTCGGAGACTCACCCACCACTGTCATGTGTCGACCCGGGTCGATCAACGAATTAGTCGGGGCATAGCTCCAAAACCGTGGCTGGCTACAAAAAAAAATGGTTAAAATAATTGTTATTCAACAATTTACCGTTGGATTGTGAAATGTATAGCATTTCTTTAGGTGGACATGAAAAAACTAATTCTGACACCATGTTAATTAGAAAGTTAAACAAGTTGATTATTCCTATCAATTATATTTAATTAATTCGTATATTCTTAATTAACGACAAGATCTTGTCACACGGAAAGTCAAACAAGAAAAAATGAGTTGGATATGCCAGTTTGATTGATCTAAACTTGAGTTTTGCTTCTATTATATACCACATTTTTTTTTACATATATGTATAGGGAGATTGACACAGTCTCGTTACGAAATATTCTGTCGAGATTTGTAAACGTTAGATTATAATGTAATCGTCGGAGATGGTTGATTTAACCGTTACAAACTCCGACGGAATGGTTCCATAACGGGACAAATTAAAAAATTGTGCCTTGGAACTTGATCCCAATTATTTCATGTCATCCTTCCTCCGACATTCATCAATTTATTAATACAAAGATAATTTGTGTGAAACCAAAATAAATAAATGAATGAAGTATTATTGAAAACAATAAAAGTTAAATATATTTTTATCAAAAGTAAAATATCTGGAAAAAGAATAAAATTGTTTCACATCTGGATTATCAGAAGACGATGTCGCAAAAACGTACTGTTTAATATTTAATTATTTACTTATGTGTGTATGTTCAATTTTTAAATTTTATATCATGTGTATGAAATAGTTTAGGGCATGTGGGACATTGTCTAGTACATGGGGCAAAGGGTCATTTTTGTCATTTGATCAGGCATGTTACAATGGGAAATACTAAGGTCCCGTTACGGAACTATTGCGTCGGATTTTGTAACCGTTAGATCATCACGTAACCGTCAGAGATAGTTGATCTAAACGGTTACAAACCTCGATGGAATGGTTCCGTAATGAGACCGTAGCATCTTCCATAATTATTATGTTATAAATACAATTGTGAATGTACTTATTTAATTATTTTCAAAAAATTACATAGAAAAATAGATACTATCTATCTTTTTTTTTTTTTTTTTT